TAAAAGTAAATATTAAAATTCTCTCTCTCTCTCTCTCTCTCTCTCTCTCTTTAAAAAAAATAAAAGGGGCTGGAGATGTCACTCAGGAGTAAAGAGCCTCTGGGTTAAATCCTTAGTACCAAAAAAAAAATTGTTTTGAAGATATACTCATTTTATTTTTTAATTTAATTTTTACTTATTTTTTAGTAGTGCTGAGGATGGAACCAGGGCCTCGTCATGTTAACTAAAGCATTCTCCCACTAGTTACTCCTCCAGTCCAACTAACTTTAAAAATAATAGACTTTTATTTATTAGATTTATAGAAAAATGAGCAAGGAGTTGTGGGTATAGATCAATGACAGAACACTTGCCTAGAATCTATGAGGCCCTGGGTTCCATCTCTAGAACCAAAAAAAAAAAGAGCAGAAAGTGTTGAAAAATTCCCTCACCCTCTCTTCCTTTCCCCTATTCACATTTTGCTTTGGTGTGGTACAGCTGTTACAATTAAAGAGCCAATATTTATACATCATTATTAACTCAAGTCCAGAAATTACATTAGGGTTCACGTTATTGACTGATTGATTGATTGATTGATTGTACTAGGAATTGAACCTAAGCGTGCTTAACCACTGAGCCACATCTCCAGCCCTTTTTATTATTTATTTATTTATTTATGGTACCGGGGATTAAACTCAGGGTCATTCCACCAGCCTTATTTTGTATTTTATTTAGAGACAGGGTCTCATTGAGTTGCTTAGCATCTCACTTTTGTTGAGGCTGGCTTTGAACTCACGATCCTCCTGCCTCAGCCTCCTGAGCTGCTGGGATTACAAACGTGTGCCACCAAGCCCAGCTTATTTTTTTATTCGGAGACAGAGTCCTACTAAGTTGCTTGGAGCCTTGCTAAATTGACGAGACTGCCTTTGAACTTGTGATCCTCCTTCCTCAGCCTCCCATACTGCTGGGATTATAGAAGTATACTGCAGCAACCAGTTTAGGATTCAGTCTTTACATTGTATGTCCCGTGGGTTTTGACAAATATATAATGACTCTACCACCTTTGGCAATGTCATGCGTTTCACTTCCTTAAAAATCTTGTATTCCACTTATCCATCTCTTTCTCCTTCCTCCCAATATTTTACTATTTCTATAATTTCTGTTTTCTTTTTACATAGTTTTATTTTAAAAAGTCATATTCACATGCCAGGCATGGTGGCGCATGCCTATAATCCCAGTACCCCTTCCCCCCCCAAAAAAGGTCATATTCATAATTTGTTAAAAGTTCAGAAGAAGCATATGTAAAATTCTATCTATATTTTCCTCCCCAGTCCTCCATCCACACCTTCCAGGATTCACTGGAAGACAAAAGTCTTGGTTTTTTTGTTTGTTTGTTTGTTTTTAGTGCTAGGACCTGATGGGTGCTGAGAATTGAACCCAGGATCTCGCATGTGCTAGATGAGCACTCTACGGCTGAGCCACAACCCCAGCCCCTTTTTTTTTTTTTTTTTAAATACTGTGGGCTGAACTCAGGGATGCTTTGCCACTGAGCTGTGTTCCCAGTCTTTTTTTTTTTTTTTTTTTTTTTTTTGAGACAAGGTCTTGCTAAGTTTCTTAGGGCCTCACTAAGTTGCTAAGGGCAGACCTCAAACTTGTGATCCTCCTGCTCAGCCTCCTGAGTAGCTAGGATTACAGGCTTATACCACCATACCAGACTAACCTTCAGAATCGTGACAGCCTCAATTAGTCAGGAAACTTCAAATATGTCACTGGTATCTGCCAGCTTTCACTCACACCCATTTTCCTTCTATCATATTCTGCTGCTTGATGTTGAATTCATTGCCTAGGCCACTCTAGTTGAATGTAAACCCTGAAAAAACAAATTAGGACTAGGCTGTGTGATGGATGACCTGGGAATTTGGAAGACTAAATTTCATCTGGCTATCACAATACTACTTAATTATATGAACTGGTGCCAGACATGGCCTCTTTAGTCTGCTAATTCTTTCTTTGCAAAAGGAATCTTAAACTGAACTGGGTGTGGTTTCACACAACTGTGATCCCAGTGGCTCAGGAGACTAAGGCAGGAGGTTCGAAAGTTCAAAACCAGCCTCAGCAAAAGCAAGGCGCTAAGCAGCTCAGTGAGACCCTGTCTCTAAATAAAACACAAAAAATAGGTCTGAGGCTGGGGCTGGGGCTCAGTGGTAGAGCACTTGCCTAGCATGAGTGAGGCACTGGGTTCGATTCTCAGCACTGCATATAAATAAATGAATAAAATAAAGGTCCATCAACCTCTAAAAATTATTTTATAAAAAATAGGGTTGGTGATGTGGCTCAGTGGTCTAGTGCCCTTAAGTTCAATCTCCAGTACCCTTCCCCACCAAAAAATATGAATCTTAAACTGAAAGGTTATAGGGCTGGGGATGTATCTCAGTTGGCAAAGTGCTTGCCTCGAATGCACAAGGCCCTGGGTTCAATCCCCAGCACCACACACACACACAAAAAAAAAACCCTGAAAGGTTATCAACTGAATAGTCCTGAGAGCCCTTTGCAGCCTCATTCTCTCAAAATGGAATGAAAATTGAACAAGATGATGATCTATGTCCCCTTTCGTATCTGAGATTATGTAGTTTTAAAAAAATTTTTAGTTGTTAATAGATCTTTATTTTATTCATTTATTGATATGCAGTGCTGAGAATCGAACCCAGTGCCCTCACTTATGCTAATCAAGCATTCTACCACTGAGCCACAACCCCAGCCCTAGTTTTATTTATTTATTTACTTTAATATTTATTTTTAAATTTTAGGTGGACACAATATCTTTATTTTACATTTATGTGGTGCTGAGGATTGAACCCAGTGCCTCATGCATACTAAGCAAGCTCTCTACCACTGAGCCACAACCCCACCCCCTATTTATTTTTTAACAGAAAGTCAGAGATACTTTATTTTTACTTCAAAATCCAAAGGCTGAGTATAGCAGAGGTGTAAAAATGGAATCCCACTAAGTCTGATTCACTCGAATACTAATGTTTAATGAGATTCTTTCATTTGAATATCAAACCTTAAAAGCCTTAATTCCCAAGAATCTTAGGCTACTTTTAGGAATCACAAAATGTGAAGCACTGCAAAATCTGTATTCTAGTCCTCCCTTCTCTTTCACTTTTCCTGCACTAAAATGATTCTGTAGCAGGGTTTTGCAAATTGATCCGTGGATGCTCAGTAGCCAAGAGCACTTTTCCATTTCCAAGGAAAATATTCTACTGTTAGGGCTCCTTAGATATAAAATAGTCCCAGATCAGTTCAATTTTCTGAGGGTCTAAAGGTATTTCTAAAAAGAACCCCAGCTGGGCATGATTGTGCATACCTGTAATCCCAGCAACTTTAGAGATTGGGACAGGAAGATGACAAATTCAAGACCATTATCAATTTATTGAGACCCTTGGCAACACAGTAAGACCCTTTCTGAAAGTAAAAAGGACTAAGGATGTGGGGTGCAGTGGCATCTGCCTGTGATCCCAGGGGCTCTGTAGGCTGAGGCAGGAGGATCACAAATTCAAAGCCAGCCTCAGGAGCCTGGAGTTGTAGCTAAGGGGTAGAGCACTTGCCTACCACTTGAGGTACTGGGTTCAATTTTTAGCACCACATAAAAATAAATAAATATAAAGGTATTGTGTCCATCTACAATTAAAAAATATTAACACCAAACAAAAAAACAACATCAGCAATTTAGTGAGGCCCTAAGCAACTCACGGAGACCTTGTCTCTAAATAAAATATAAAAAAATGGTGGGTGATGATGTTTGTATTTAATTAATAAAAATAAAGTGCTAGCTTCCTGATTATTAAAATTTAGAATATATATATGAATATACAACTTTTAAAAATTCATCATTCTACCACTAAGAGTTAAATCACTACCAAAAAAGCTGAGACATTACAAATAATATTATCTAAATAATAAGATTTTCATTTTTATTTATTAATTTATTGTTGGTGCTGAGGATTAAATCCAGGCCTTGATGTACTAAGTACATACTCTACCATTCTTGAACCCCAGCACTGGATACTCTTCTTTGTTTTTTTGTTTTGTTTTTGTTTTTTGGAGTACCAGGGATTGAACCCAGGGGTCCTTTACCACCGAGCCACATCCCCAGCCCTTTTTATATTTTATTTAGAAACAGGGTTTTCTGAGTTGTCTAGGGCCTGGCTAAGTTGTTGAGGCTGGTTTTGAACTCATGATCCTCCTGTTTCAGCTTCCCAAGTTGCTGGGATACAGGTGTGCATCAGATTTTCTTCTTTTCTCTGCTTCTTTCTTTCTTTCTTTCTTTCTTTCTTTCTTTCTTTCTTTCTTTCTTTCTTTCCTTCCTTCTTTCTTTCTTTCTTTCCTTCTTTCTTCTTTCTTTTTTTTGTTTTTGTTTTTTGTTTGTTTGTTTTGTTTTCTTTTTTGAGAATGTTCAGGTGAGACTGGCCTCAAACCTTTGATCCTCCTGACTCAGTCTCCCAAGTAGCTGGGATTACGGGCATGCACCACTATTCCTGGTTAGATTTTTATTTTTTGAATATTATTGCCTAGTGTGATAGGCCAAAGAAGACTTGTGAGTATGAAATGAAAGAAAGCCTGCACATTTTGTCTATAATTAAGATAACTTTCTGCCCCATATTATTTCTCCAGTAACCTACAGTCAGCTAGTATTGCTTTTTATGACTCACCCTAGCCTACCTAAGAAATCTTCTTTAGGATGTAGCTGTGTGGTGTGTCATTTGGGAGATTTTTTTTTTTTTTAATTTCATTGTGAGACAAGTAAGATTCACATGCGGTTCTCTCTACCCTTTAACTCATTTTCCCCAATGATAATCTTTTTTGCTATAATGCAACATCACCATCAGGAAAGTGACATTTATACCACTCATCCTTCTTAACCCAATTTCACTAGTTTTACATGCACCCATTAAATGCTATGCAGTTTTATCCTGTCTAGATGCATAGATGTGTCAGCACTTTCCAGATGCAGGATAGTTCCAATACTATAAGCATCTTTCATGCTACCTTTTATAATTCTCTCCCTTCTGCCCTCCCTTTCTCCTAACCCCTGGCAACCAACTAATCTCTTCTCTATTTCTATATTTTTGTCGTTTCAAGAATGCTACCTAAATGGATCCACAGGTATGGAACCTTTTTTTTTTTTTTTTAAAGAGAGAGAGAGAGAGAATTTTTAATATTTATTTTTAAGTTCTCGGCGGACACAACATCTTTGTTGGTATGTGGTGCTGAGGATCGAACCCCGGCCACATGCATGCCAGGCGAGCGCGCTACCGCTTGAGCCACATCCCCAGCCCCAAGGTATGGAACCTTTTGAGTGGCCTTTTTCCCACTCAGTGTAATTGCCTGGAGATTCATTGGAACTGTCACTTGTACCCACTGTTCATTCCTTTTTGCTGCTGAGTTATGTTCCTTGTTACAGAAAGACCACAGCTAGTTTAACAGTTCATCCTTTGTAGACCATCTGAGCTGATTCTTGTTATTTGACCATTATAAATGAAACCACCACGAACATTTGTATGTGAGTGTCTGCGTGAACCTGGATTTACCTTTGTCCGTGATAAGTTCTGGAGGATGTTTGTAAATGTCTGTGAGGATATTTTGGTTCTGGCATAATTAATTTTTTCCTTCTTTGTCCTCATCTTCTTATTTCCTGTGCATGTTTTCAGCTGACTTTGACTCATGTTAGAGCATGTTCCTTTCCTTTTCTTTTTTAAGCATTCCACTTAATGACAAAAGTGTCCAAAGGAGAAGTAAAAGAGTAAATGGTAAAGTTGGTTTCCCTTCTTGGCTGCACTGGGATTGTAGCTTAAACTTCTTATGGTAATTACATGGAGAACTGTGTGTATCTTTGAACTTGGCAAGAGTTTAAGAAATAAACTAAGGCTGGGCATGGTAGTGCATACCTGTAATCCCAGGAACTCAGGAGGCTGAAACAGAAGGATCACAAGTTCAAAGCCAGCCTCAGCAACTTGGCAAGGCCCTAAGCAATTTAGTGAGATTCTGTCTCAAAACAAAAAGGGCTGGGGCTGGGGTCTATGGATATAGCTCAGTTGGTAGAGTGCTTCCTAGCATGCACAAGGCCCTAGGTTCAATCCCTAGCACAATCAAAAAAAAAAAAAGGAGGGGGGTGCTGTGGATGTAGCTCCATGACAAAGTACCCCTGAGTTCAATCCCTAGTACCCCCCAAAAAAAGGAAGTAAAGTTAAGGACACATTTTCTTTCAGACTTACAAGACAGTCACGTCAAAGCAAGCCAAACACACAGAACATATAACAAATTTGAAAGAAAAAACAAAAGCAGAGTTACATCCACTTCAAGGTAAGGGGACTTTCTTAATTATTTTATTTATTTATTTATTTAAATTTTTTTTTTTTGAGACACTGATTCCCATCTTCTTAGTCTAGCAATGAACACTATTTGCCTTTGGCTTCTTGGCTAACTTAATCCAGAATGGCTCTTCGTAGGAATTCATTCAGGAAGGAAAAGCCCAACCAAAATCTAAAGAATATTCTTAGGCATTTTGGATGAGTGCATTTGATAAATGAACATTTTGCATTTATGCTGCTGACCGTGGCTTTGACTTCTTTGTGTGGTAATATTATTTCTCTCCTACTCAGACATCCATTCATGCGGGCATAATTTTAGAATTTGTCTCCCTCAGCAGCTTGACCTTTTTTTTCCCCCTCATTTTTTTTTTTTAAATCATAAGGTTAATTTTTGTTTCTGTTTTGACTAAGACCTCCTTGTGTCTTTGCTCAAAGTGTACTGGCCATTAGAGTTGGGTACACTGAGCCCCTCCATTGATAAAAATGTCAATCCTAGGGACAGAAAGTTGACATATTCACCCTTATGTCCATTTCTTGCCTACAGCTACTTACTTTTTAAAAATATTTTTTAGATGTAGATGGACATAATACCTTTTCTTAATTAATTTATTTTTATGTGGTACTGAGGACTAAACCCAGTGCTCACATATGGGAGGCAAACACTCTACCACTGAGCCACAATGGTAGCAGCCCCTACAACTATTTACTTTAAAATAGTTTTTTTCCATCTCAATGTTAATGCCATTATCAATTGCCATGGTCACTATTTAGGGACGGAGATACAGTTTACCCTTTTCATCATGACAACAATAAGAGACAGAATATCACTGATAAATGTTATTGAATAGAATCATGAGAAGTCTGTTTATAATAATATTATCATTACAAATATTATTATAATATTATTAATACAGCATCTGTGTAACACTTGATTGGCTTGAAGGCCCATTTTATATAGATTATTTTAGTTAATCCTCACAATAGCCTTGTGAAGTAAATATTATCAGTATTCTTATTTACAGATGATTAAGCTGAAGTTGAGAGAGGATTAGTGGTTTCCTCAGGGTCATCAGCTAGCACCTTGGCCACTCTTCCATACCATCTCATATGGAAGGTTGAAATGGTGGTTATTTGTTAGTATTAGTGTTTGAATAAGTAATATATGCAAATTTTTTAAGTTCAAAAGAGTTTATAAGAAAGCAGATCTCTCATCTTCCCTCCCAAAGGCAACTGATATTATCAGTTTCTTTGAATCCCAGAGAGGGTCTTTGCAAATACAGCCCTCTGGCTATATAACACCTCTTTTTGTCCATACTGTATACATTGTTCTTTCCTTGATTTTTCCTTTTAAGTCCACTTGGAAGACCATTAAATATCAGCACATGTAGATCTGACTCAGTTTTTTAAATGACTGCACAGTGTACAATTTCGTCCCATGTTCTTTAAATTAACACTCTGCTTAATGGACTAAATCTTAAAGGTGAAAAAGAGAATGTGGCAGAAGCTGAGAAAGCGAGTTCAGAAGCTCTGGAAGTTTCTGTTGTGCAAGCTGAGGTGGTAGGTGCTGAAGAAATTGCAGAGGCTGCAGTTGGGGACGTAGAAGAGTCTGCGGGTCCAGGTGATGTGGAGGCCACTAAGGAGGAGGTGACGGCTGTGGGTGCTGAAATGGAGCCCAAGGTTACAAGTGCACAGACAGGTGACACCACAGAGGACGGTTCTGAAATGACCCCAGAGGCTACGGATGTAGCAGCGAGTGAAGGCATTTCCACCTGTAACAATCAAGGTATTCCAGAGAACGACTGCTCCCAGGAATGTGCTGAGCTGGAAGGAACTTGTCCAGCCGATTCCCAGTCCTCTGCTGGGCCTTTGCAGGAAGAAGCTGATGCTGGTTCCGAGGCTGCCTCAGGCTAATCTCCTGCCAGTAGCAGGTTCTGCAAAAACAAAAACATAATAGCGTGTCTAATAGCTGCCTTTGTATTTTCAGTAATTTTGGTTTTGAAAAGACATCTTCCTAAAACACTTCGATGATCCTTGAAGATTTTTGGTATCTTCTGGTAGAGTTTTGAGAGATTTCCAATTTTACATTTCTTAATTATTTTCTACTCTCTAAAATTAGATCGTGACATTGCAGTAAAGAGTTTATAGTTTTAGCTGGGTACAGTGGCACACGCCTGTGATCCTAGCAGCTTCAGAGGCTGAGGCAAGAGGCTCACAAGATCCAGGCCAGCATCAGTAACTTAGTGAGATCCTGACTTAAAAGAAAAATTAAAAAGGGCTGGGGATGTGGCTCAGTGGTTAAGCACCCCTGGGTTCAATTCCTGGTACCAAAAAAAAAAAAAACCCAGCTGAAATAGTAATTTTACCTTGAATTTAAATTTTGCATTATAGGAATTATCTCTACATCTTGTTTTCACTCTAATTTTGCTCTTTTTGCTCTGCTTTTACCTTACTTTATTATGTAGAACTGGATTATCAAGCTCAATTTGAACTCATTTGAATAAAATTAGAAAATCTTTAGTGTTTCTATTTTTATTCACTAATACTTACATAGGTATAAATAATACACTGTGTTATATATTAACATATACACATGAAGAAATTAAGCTTTCATAATATGATTGAAGAAGGGACATATTTGTGGAGAACTGTGCCTATGATAATGTATATGCCTTCCCCTCTCTCTATTAATATATAACAGGCTGTGCAGATATTTCCTGGTTTAATTCAAACAATATTTTTTGAGGACTTACACTTTGTGTTGGGAGTCATTCATTCATTCATCTGAGCACCTATAACCAACAGAGGCACTGTTTTAAATCTTCCTCACTATATATTGTAGAGTAGGACTAGATAGTAAACAAGATAAATAAGGAAACTGTAAGAATGTTAGAAACTGGCAAGTGCCAAGGGTAAAAGTAATGAAGAAAAAAAGAATTATAAGTACTGGTTTGGGGTGGAAGTTGTCATTTTTAAAAAAATTAATTTTTTTAGTTTTTGATGGACACGATACCTTTATTTTATTTATTCATTGATTTTTTATGTGGTGCTGAGGATCGAACCCAGGGCCTGTCACGTGCTAGCCAAGTGCTCTACTGCTGAGCCATTACCCCAGCCCCAAAGTTGTCATTTTAAATAGAGCAGCCAGAGCAATTCTTACTAGGAAGGTGTGTTTTAAGTAAAGATCAGAAGTCTACATCAGGGACCTCATCACCAGGACCTCAGCAGGGAAGATCATTCCACGTGAGGGAATGGACATGTGCAAAGGATCTGCAGCAGGAGCATGCTGAAGAATTTGAGGAATTGCAAAGTGACCATGTGGCTGAGGTGGAGTGACAGGGAGAGTAGTTGGGGATGATCTCAGAGGGAAGGAGATGGGGGGCGGATGAGCTAGGTCATGTGGAGTTATGCAAGATTTTGGCTATTGGAGTAAGTTGGGAAATTGTAGTGGACACTGCCAGTGCTCTGTCTGGATCCCCTTAACTGGGTGTATTTACCCCCAGCTGTTATGTTACTCCCCACCCCTACCCACCCTTCACCCCAGGCAGCTCACCACCAAGGACTGACAAGTACTGTGGTACTAAAGGTGGGGCCAGCTCTGCAGTACAACTCAGAGCTCCCCATGGTCAGGTTGAAGCTAGTCTCCTTGAGCACCACCACCCCCACCCTGTGACCCACATCCTTTCTTCCTATCTGTTCTACTGAGAGCATTCCTACATAAACCACTTGGCCAAGAATCCGTTTCCAGGGAGCTTCACTTAGCATAACTGGATATGGTCCTGGGAGGCAGATGTCAGAAAGGCCCCTGGAGTTGTCACTCTCCATCTGGATGCAATGAGGATCCCTCACTGGTGGTCAGTGCAGGATTGCTGGTCCCTGGCAGTCTGCAGCAATGTGATTACTAAGCTTTTCAACAATGGTAAACTGAGGCAGGATATAGGTGAAATGTTATGTACTGAATAGCCTAACGTCCCAGGGGGCTGAGAGGCATAGAAAAACATAACCATAAGCACTTATCATGTTTTGAGGTACAGGATGGTACCTCGATTTGTCCCAATATCAACTCTGCATTGGATCCCCAAGTCTAAGGCCTATGGCGCAACTGAAGGGATGCTGCTTTACTGGACGCTCTGAAGATGGGGCAGAAGCACGCCCAGCTCTGCCCTCACTGACCTGATGCACACAGCACACACACAGGCATTCTTCCCACTGTTTTGGTTTGGAGAGTTTCTACTGCAAATAACAGAAGCCAGTTCAAAACGGATTAAACAACAGAGAGTTCTTATATAACCAGATATCCAGGGTGGGTTTATTCTTCCGTGACTCAGTCAAGAACCAGGTCATGTATAACTAAAAAGAACAAC